TAAACATAATTTTTGTTTGAATTCATTTACTATACCATATATCTTCATTGTAGATGCTGGAGATGACAAGTTATTTTCTACATTGGAAAACAGTTTACTCCAAGCTATACCTGCTGATATGGCGGAATGGCGTAGGTCATTTAGTAGACCAATTAAACAAGTCAAACTTGGAGCTAGTTTTGTACCATTTTCTAAAGATGTTTTGCCATCTGAGAATGATTGGCACTTGATAAAACAACCTATATTTCATATTTATTGGACTGAATGTTCTGTAAATAGATTGACATTATAATTATCTAAGTATTGCGTAAAGGAAGATCTTTTTATTATAAGTGTCAATATCATTACAGGATGTAGATACTTACAAAACAACTGTCAGAGAAGATATAGATAACTGGCTGAAAACATTAACACAGCATCACATTCATGACTGGATGATTGTTATTGTAGAAATATATGACATAAAGAAGACAAATAAATTATTACCCAGGACAACGGTGCTGGATAAAATTCGTAGTGATTTTGCAGCAAAGAATGGTGACAGGTGAAGTAATAATCATATGATGAATGTTCAACGAATTTATTTTTCTTTGCCATTTAATTGTATTTCACTGATAATACAACGTGACTGTAACTCAAATTTAAGACTACGAAACTAAGACCTTACAACCATGTAGAACGCTCCGCTGAAATAATTGAAATTGCACCGATGTCCACTTTACAATCTTATGAATAGGAAAAGTCAATATAATGTGTCACGTTTACTTAACGATGTAAAATATAATTTACTTTATGCACACACAGATGTTGTGCTGTAATAAATCCAGTAAAATCAGAGATGCGCTCGGCTGAATCATGGAGAAGCCTAATCGGTCGTATACGCTATCTAATGCTTGTTGCATACGATAAAACGTTATCTCGGTTTGAAGACATTATTAGGGATCAAAGAGAAAATAGGAATCATCCAAATTGGAATTTTTGTCACTATTTTCTACTGCAGGTAAATTAACGTTTATGTGTGTCACCATTATTTTTATAAAAGTTTCAACTTTATACAATTATATAGTGATTTATTTTCTTTAGGAAGAACTTGCGTTTGTTTTACAAATGTTGGAATTATATGATGAAGCATTAGTACAGTATGATGAATTAGACGCTCTCTTTACACAATTCGTGCTTAATTCCAATCTAGGAGGTATGATATCTTTGTACCTTTAAAACATTTATTTTTTATAAATTATGTAACTAATTGATTATCACATTATTTTCAGATACTCCTATCTGGCTAAATTTATTTCAAACACCTCTAAACAATTGGGGTGGTGTTAATTTAAGTAACGGTACAAATCTTCACTTAAGACACCTTTTGGCTGAATGCAAAGCATCGTTATTAGATCTTAGAAGTTATTTATTCAGTAGACAGTGTGCCATGTTATTAGCACTTAACAAACCATGGGAGGTTTGTACATAAACTCATATTTTAATAAAACAAAGTTTAATGAACAATATAAAGATGCAATATAAAGATAAAATTATGATTTAGGTTGCGCAAAGATGCTTATCATTTGTGCACAACACGTTAAGTGAGTTACGTATATTAGAAGTTCAACATCCCGAGGGATCGATTGAATGTTGGTCATTCCTTTGTGCATTAGAGGTATTGCAAGCTTGTCAATTGTCGTCCTATAATATCGATAATAATCAACAACTAGATCTTTGCTCCTTACACACAGCAAGTTTATGGGCTCTTGCCAGGGATAAAGTAAGTTACTGGAAATACTAATTGAATAACATAATTTTATTACATATAAGTCAACATGAATTAAATAAAACGACACCTTTAATATATTCAAGTATCTTTATTGTAATATATTTCAGTTGGGAAGTTTAGGAAAATTGTGTGGGTTAATGCCTGGAAGTGAACCTTCTAGTGAACAATTACATACAGTCGTTTACCTCATAGCTGGTATGGGAGATTCTGAATCGCAGGTAGAGGGTAAATTGACGCCTACCGACAAATTGAAAGAAGCGCTTTCATCAAAGGAGGCATTTAAAAAACAATATCTTGAGCACGCAGAATTAGCTATGGGTACTTATAAACACGTGGGTCGGATTCGTTCGGCAAGATTGATTGGTAAAGAACTGGCACAGTTTTATAGTGAACTCGGAGAAAATCAAAAAGCTGTTGCATTCTTATCGGATGCATTAAAAACGTATACCAACGAAGGCTGGAATCATTTAGCGGCGCAAACTCAGCTCGAACTGGCCCAATGCTACAAAAGAATGGACGACGTAGAAAAATACACGAAAATTTGTACGGCTATCGCTAGCTTAAACGTACTACACGTTACCGTTCGTAATACATATTTTGAAGAAATGTCTGGGTATATGAAAATGATCTCGTCGCCGCAACCCTTACTCGTAGAACTGGCGTGTGCTTTTGTGATACTCAGTATGGAAGTTAAAGTGGATAAAGTTGTCCAAGATTGCATGGTCAACATCGAAATAAGTGTACAAAGCTTATTTCCCAGAGAGGTGACATGTACCAAAGCGTCTGTTTCTGTTGAAGAAGTTCAAAAACCTCAATTATCTAATAAGAAAAAAGGTTCAAAGTTATCACCGGAACCGTCAATTCCACTGCTATCAAAATGTACTTTAGAGGATATGAAATCATCCGACCCAAGTTTAATTCAATTACAAGTGTATTCGTTTCTAGAAAGAAAAGAGGATAAAAGCTTTGGGTCTGCGAGCGTTGTACACAAGAACATTAAGCCTGTTGTGAGACGTTCTGATAGTACAAAACATAGAAAACCTTCGCTAAATGTAAAGGGTGATTTCAGTAAAGCGTTATCGTGCAACAAGTTTACAATGAAACCAGGCACGAACACGTTCACGTTATCCAGATGCGTCGATCAACCTGGTTTTTACAAAGTTGGCCAACTATCGTTAATTATCGAAGAGAGATTGGAATTCCTATCGCCCATGTTGAATCCTCGTTTATGCTACGAGGTAGCCAAGACCCAGCCTACCATTTCTTTGAGATGCGGCAGAGATTTATTGGCGGGTCTTGTACAAGATATCGAACTAGTTATTATGAGTAGTAGTATAAAGATAACTAAAGAAATGAAGCTCAAGTTACGTACATCTAGGGGACTGTTGATCCAAGTGGATAATTTACAAGAAGTAATGTCTAAAGAATTAGAAATACCACTGCCATCGTGTGAACCATTTGAAACGGTCCGATTGAAATTTAAAGTTTTAGCTGAACTTCCACCAAAGAAAGATGCATTATCAATGGAACACAAGGTATTCTCGTAAGCCGTAACGAGTATATTTTCTAAAAGAGGGGATTATATTATGTAAATATTTATTACTTTCTACATTTTTATAGCTGAATATTCAATGTCCATGGGGTGCGGAAGAGAGTATACTTTTACATTTCGGTCCACCTCTTATGTCGAATATGAAACTTCACACAGCAAAACAAAGAAAATTTATACAAATAATTGTAACAGGATTAACAAGTCAACTTCTGCAATTGATTGAACCGGAATTAACAACAGCAACGTCAATAGATGTTAATTTTAAAAGCTTGAATCCCATTGCGGGTCAGAGATTAGTAATAGGTAATGGAATAAACGTATCATTTATGTGGGAACTTGAAATTGGTAAAGATGAAAAGTCTCTGATACCAATAAAGACTGATTTTCGTGTAAGATACGTACCAATTAATGACACTGAAGAACTGAACGATTTACATACCAATGAGGATCCTCTGCAAATACATACGTTACAAAGAGTGGAGAAAGCAGCCAGTCTTTATAGATGCAATTTTGATATTACAAATTATGTGGTAAGGGTATAGATTATTTCTCTAATCGTTGTTTACTGTATAAAATCAGTAAAAATGTATTTCATTTATTTATTAATAATGTTAAATATATAAAATGTACTTTAAAAATATTTCAACCAAGGTGAGTTTCTATTTATAATATCATTTTCCAGACTTTATTTACAGTGTCTTCAAAGGTTGAAGCAGCTGGAAACGGGGGTGAATTTTGTCGTGCTGGTAGCATGTGCCATCTTTATCTTACTGTAACACGTATGTCACCTGGTGCTAATCCGAATCCTTCACCGCAATTAATGTATGAAGTTCTTGCTGATCAAGCTATGTGGGCTGTATGTGGTCGTACCGCCGGCATTGTGTCTTTGGAAGTCTTAGAGAAGCAAAGTGTCACATTAGACGTGATGCCCTTAACTAGTGGTTATTTACCTCTTCCCGTTGTTCGATTGTCTCGTTATATTCCAGCACCAGAGTCCAAGAGTGGTAAGTGTTCTAACACTAAAGGATTTTCACTCTTGTTTTTTCATTCTCTTATTTCATTACTTATATCTTTGACCTTTTAACATAATTTACTTCGTATTTTTGTAAGTTTATGTTGCTAACATCCATTAACTTCTTTTTAAAGATATGGTTCGTAAAACTGAGATAGCTTCTAGTTCAAGATTAGAACCGTTCAGTCCTGGTCAAGTTTACAATGCTAGTAAGGCACAGCAAGTTCATGTTCTACCAGCAGCACCTTCAGAAGTAAACTGAATACAAACATTGATATTGAGAACATCTAATAATAATTATGCATGACAAAATGCAAATTATATACGCACACGACCAAGTCCAGTTCTGCATTGTGGTCTACGATATTGAATAATATTATTATTCACTTATGATTCCTTTATCTTCTTTAATTGAAATTTGAGTTTTGCATAAATAGAATTTATATATATATATATTGTTCGAAGTTATATAATTTAAAGTCAAATTTCAATTTGTATCATTGTTTATATTTATTAACATAATTGTTGAGTTAAATTTTGCCATTAGAATGAAGGATATAATATGACAATATATGAGCAGTAGGTAAAAATCATAAGTTTTATAGTCGAAAAGCAAAGAAAACTTACATATAATGCTTTCTCTTATGAATTAATGTGATGTGTATTCTAGTGAACTTGTTGAACAATATTCAGTTTTTGATATGGTTGTATAGTCCAGGTATAAGATTTGACCGACGGAAATCTTTTGTTCCATTTAAGTCGAGATAAGTTGTAGAAAGAAACTATTGATGTCATTTGAAATTATGTACTTATAATTTNTTCCATTTTTTCAATAATTAAAGCAATTATCTACAAAATTCTAAAGTATCTCTCATATACTAATAAAACTGAAGTTGATTTTACATAATCCCATTTATATATTGTTTGATAATATTGTATCCTATTTAGAACTGATTAGAAATTGTATAATAGATTAAAATATAACTTTTATTTTTTATATGTAACTGTTAAGGTGAACAAAGCTCTGAATAAAAAGGATTTTATTAAAGAAGGTGAACAGTTAATCCATTACATACAATATGTCTATTAAATATGAAATGTATTTTTACATTCAGTATATTATCAGAAACCAAATTATTGGGAAATATATGTACATTTAAATTGTTACAAAAAGTAATTACTGATATATACAATACATATTTTTGATGACAATGATAGTGTGTGAAGTACTGGACATAATACAATCTAATAAACAGGCCACATAGTACACTGATGCTTCCCTAATATCAATTAGCTATGTACATTACCTGTATTCATATATGAATCTTGTGAAGAATAGTGTTTTTGAATCATACATGTACATATAAAAGTCAGAAATATTAATAAGTAGGTAATGGTTGTTGTGTGAGTAACAAACCAAATCTACGTTTTAATGTTATTCTTTCTCTGGAATATTTGTCTTCCGGCGAAAATCGAGCTAAAATCATTTTTTATGTTAAATATTTTTAAGAGATTGCACATAAAAAAAAATTTTGCTATTTACCTGGATGAGCTGATAATGTTGGATGACCATGTGGATCCATCTTCTACAAAACAAAAACAATATGAATATAAATGTAAATAGGTATCATAAAATAAATTTTCAATTTTTTATATTTGTCTCTGATTCTCTAAATCCAAAGTATAATATCAAGAGAATTATAAATGTTTTATATCAATGAACATTTAACAGTATGTAGTACAGTTTTATTACCTTCAGCGTGTACACTCGATCTCCGTTTTCATTTAAATAATACATTAAGTACATTTTTGCACTTTAAATTTATTCTTCTGTGTATTAATTCGTAGGTTAGGTTCCACAGCACCACGTTTGTTGCGCTCTGCACGTTTTGCGTTTGCCAGCGTTTGCCACGTAAAGAAATAAAGAGAAAGAGAATAGATTTCCTACCAATTTCCTACGTTTATCTATTGCGTATCGCGCCAAACTCGAATCGTCGGTGTGCCCACCGAGTTACTAACTTTCTTGGTGTGATTACCGACTATGGTTAACCCTGTTGGATTCCATTTGATGTCCTAACGCTTACATCATGCACGGGCGCTGTCCACAGTGCACCACAGTGCCCATTCTTTAGTGTAATATCTTCTCGATGATTAAAATCAACAAATGACTACGATATCGAATTCATTTCGCGCGCTTTTCACATCATCCACACTTATAGTATTTCTGTTTTATACGTTTGTCATTAAAAATATAATAAAGTGTAATGAACAGAAAAAAGTTTTCGACGCCTTCGGCTGCAAAAAAGGCAAAATTTCGGTAACTGTTTGCATTGTCTACTGACAATCTAGTCTTAACCTTATTACATTTACTTCGCATAAATTTGTGTTTATATTATTTTATTAAAATAACATTTTTATAAAAGAATCGTAGCTAATATGTTGGGACAAATACTTTGATCCTATGAATTAGCTATAGAGTAACAACACTTGTTATTAAATAATTTTTTGTACATTAATCTCTTATTTCA